TCTGCACTGGTTCACTGCCAGCCCCTTATGTAGATTTCCTGACCCAGATCACACAATTACCTCACATGCACCAATAGGAATGTATGGTGTATATGCAGTCTCCTGCAGTACAGTGCAAGATACAATTCCCCAACATCTTTGCAGGGACAGTTTCTAACATGCTACTGGCAAGTGGATTTTTCCAGTTCTGAGAATGGCAAAAGCATGTTATGTTGTTTGACAATTCTGGGCTGGTATTTTTTTAGCTGAGGGTTTTAAACATCTGAAATCATCATCAGGAATACATCAAAATGAACATTTGTTTGAAGAGCATGTGTCTAAATGAGACAGAAAAAAAAATCCTAGCTCCTTGATACTCCAAGTATCCAAGAGAGTAGGAAGACTGCATTTAAGAGATTGTTATTTCATTTTAGTTCTCCTGCAAGAATTGGAATAAGTCATCCTTCAAAGAGCAACAGCACAAGTAGTACAGAGATTTCTAACTGTGGTCACCCCTTTTTTATTTTTTAAAGGAATGGTGGAATCCCACCATGTGGAAGCTACTACTGCTACAACACATATCCTAAAGGAGGGAACACAGGTAAAAAGGCTTTGTCTTAGACAAGGTGTTCTCACCCTCTTCTATAACAACACTCCCCAGAGTCCCCTCTCCCATCTAGCTGGGATCTACCAATATTAGCAATATGGGAAGGGCAGAGTAGTTGCAACCCCACATTGACAGCTCTCATGATACAGGAAATTTTCTTAAAGCTCCTCGAGGCAGGCAATTACCTGAGACTCTCAGCATTCATTTAAAAAGAGAGGAAGTTTCTAGCCTGATGGTTGTAGAGAAAAGCTTGAAAATGTGACCATGCACACTAAAGGCTCAGAAACCAGGTTAATAAAACAAGCATTTATCATTTAAAAAACCAAACCAAACAAAACATGATTTTGAAACCACCATCGTCATTTTTTGAGGCCAGACTCATGGTTGTTGAATGCTTGCAGCACTGAGTCCCTGACACACATTAAGAACCCCTGCCCTAACTATTGCAGTAGCTCCATTTTTGTCACAATTCGCTGACATTTTAGAAAACAAAAAGCTAGTTTAAAATGACATTTGCATTTTAGTTCCAAAACCACTGGGTCAAACACTTTGTGGGAGAGGCACAAAGGGCGATCAGTCTAAGGGATAAAAGGGTTACCTTTTTCAAGTAGCTTCATTTGGCTGTGCAATCACTCTTTCCTCCTGGCATACAAAATACAGCAGAGATTCTGAAGATGTGGTCAGTGGAGAGCTGCTAGGTCATATGGTGATGAATTCTCATTTCCAGCTGCCAAAAGTGAATCTAAAAACAGCTACAATACATGTAATTGGTTTTGTAATATTGTTTTTTCAGCTAAACCATTGCTACAGCTGCCAGAGATGTTCTGTGATTGCCAATGGGAAAAAGTGATGCACAAGAAAATCTGTTCTCAGATGTCGTCCACATCATTTAAAGAACAACTACATATAGGCTCATCCTAGATTCAATTAAATATTGATATGCTCACTATCTAGGGAGGAAAATATCTACCACAGTGTGATGGGGTGTACACTCCACACTGGCCCTGCAAGAGTTGAATTACACCAAGTGGCCTCAATCAGCCAATTAGGCTGCAATCTGGGAGAATTAAGCCTGGGTGGAAAGCTCTAATTAGGGGAAGCTCACCTGTGTGGGAGCAGGCAGGGCTTATAGAAAGACAGCAAACCATGGGGAGGTAAGTCTGCAGTCATTCCCTAGGAGGAAGGGGGTGTATAGAGACAAATAGCTCATGGTTACTCCCTGGGAGGAGGGAGTTGAGAAGCTGGCAAACCCAGAGGAGTGGGGAGGGCCAACAGGTAAGGGAGAGGCTCAGGGAAAGGCAGCAAGGCACAGGAGGGAACCCACCTTGGCTACTATTTAGAGGGTCCCTCAGCCGGAACCCAGAGTAGAGGGCAGGCTTGGGTTCCCCTACCAGCCACTGAGGGACTGGCACCTGGGGCAGCAAATGGGAGCACTGCCTGAAACTGCTGGTGAGCAGGGACTTTGATACACATCCCTGGAAGGGGAAACCACATTGTGACTTGGCCCAGGTCACTAAGAGGACTCTGCAGTTCCTGGAGTGAGAGAGTGGCACAGTATAACTACTAGAAGGGGTGTCAGCTGGCAGAGCTAATCCCCAGAACTGCCAGGAGGTGCCATCCTGCAAAGAGCAGTGCTCCTGTCACACACAGTAACATGCGGGAGACTCAGACTGACATCTGTAAGTACAAACATTATAACCAAAACATGCTTGCATTCATCTACTGGACAACTGTAATTATGAAGCCAAATAGGGAGATTAGAAGGAATATCCTTTGGTGCTGATACAACATAGAGAGTGTTTCCTCTACCAACAGGCAGCCAGATTTACAACCTTTGCACAAGGCTTGATCCTTCTCAGCATCCCTGTCGTACTCACTGCCATGGCTTGCATTTTACACCCCCCTCCCTCTCGAAGTGGAGCAGTACAAAGCATTCTCCCATTAAGATTCTGGTTAAAACTGCATTTGTGAAGTAGGCCGTGTTCCTGTGCTCTCCCCAACAGTCAGCAGCTAGGATGACCATAGATGGAGCATGTTTGGCAACCAAATGACCCAGATGCTAAGTTCTGAGCCATCTTTCCAGCTGCAGTATCTGGGCTTGTGTCCGACTCCTCAGCTGTTGACTGTCAAGCTGCCCCCCAGACGTGTGCCAAGCACACATCTCAAAGCTTTGAGGGAAATACAGTGAATGCTCCTGCTGTGAAAAAGGACAAGGAAGACAAAGGGTTTAAAAACAAGTAGAGAAGAAAACAACAAACATTTTGTTCTTCCCTATTCCCCAGTTTTTCACAATTTGCTTTCCTTTCCTTTATCAGGAAGAGCGTAAGTGGTTAGCAGGACCAGGTTACCACATCCTCTTTTCATCCCCTTGAGGGCAAGGAGCTGAATCCGTGGGTAATCTTTAGTGATGAAAGGGGAGGTGCAAACAGGTGTTTCCTTTGTTGAATTTCATTAGTCATCATTTTAAGCTAATTTCCCAATGGTGTCTTTAAACAAGTTTTTGCCAGAAAATGGTGGAAAAAGTTCTTCTACAATTTTCCATTTACTATTTGCATTTCAAGCTTGATTTGAATCCCATTTTGTCATTAGAAAAAATCGTTCCTTTAGGGTTATGATCCCTCGTGCATCATCACTGCCCTAATCTGAATTTTAAATTGACTCAGACTACTGCATAATCATCTCTGGAGAAGGGACATCTGAACTGTAGCACAAAGGCTTTTTGTAGCTGTTATCACTTCAGATTTGTTTCATCATAATCTCTTGAACAAAAGTTACTTCCAACAAGTTCTATGCATTCCTGAGAACAGTAAGCCTAAAAAAAAAACCAACAACTTATTTTTGATTTGATGGCTGTTGGCCCATGTTCTCAAACCTGGGTGTCTAAAGTTAGCCCCTTAAATCCATATTAAGATGCATCAACAAAAGTAGACTAGTTTTCAAAAGTGTAGCTTCAATGGCACTTATGCATACTCTATATTTCTGTGCCTTGATATGGATTTATGGGGCTAACTTTAGGCACTCAGGTTTGAAATGTTGATTTGGTATCTCTTACCTATATTGCTTTGTCTGGCGCAGCAGTCCCAAGCACTCCTGAAGGACACAGACACCACTCCCTCAGAGTAAGCACCTTCAAATGTCCCATTCGTTTTGGAGGGAAAACTTTTCAGGAATAGCAACCTGAACCTACAAATGCCACTTGCAGATTTTGGGTATATATTTTATATGCACATACACAAACTGTACCTGTTAGAGCTCTTGAAAAAAAAAAACACTGCATAAGGGAAAGTTTGTTTTCCCAGAATATCACATTTATTGGTGATTGATGAAATAGCTCATGCAGGAATTTAAACAGAAATCCTTCAAATTAAATAAAAGATGGTCTTATGATTAAAGGGAAGACTATCAACTCAAATTTGGCCCCAAATATTGATTTTGTGTTTAAAACAAAAAAACGTCCACAAAACACACGATTCACAATTCAAACATTGAGAACCTTAAAGTGAAACTAACTTCCTTCATTTCTGTGTCCATGCTGGAAGAATTTCAAAAAGTAAAAAGCACCGATCATAAAAAGTTAACTAGATTTTAAAAATTCATTCAGTTTTAACAAGCTAAGGTGTGATCAGTACCAACAATTTTTGTTTAAAGTAAGATTTCTTTGTGACATTGCTCTTATAGGGCACAGAACTGGGCTGAAATCCTGGCCTCACTGAAGTTAATGATTTCTCTTCCTGCCTCTGACACACACGTCCTATGTGACCTTGGCCAAGCCACTTAATGGTCTGTGCCTCAGTTTCTCTATCTGTACAATGAGGGTTTGCAAAGCTCTGCAGGATCTTTGGATGGAAGAACTGTCATCTTATTTCTTCAGATTTATAGCATATAGTTATAGGCACACATCCTATAAAGTATCACAAACTAAATAATAGAAAAGGGCTACCAAAGAAATGAACACCCCAACCCTCCGCCCATTTCCTCCACAATAGCCTGAGAAAATGGGGGCTTTGCACCAGGCATGAAATATTAACAAAATGTGGGCTCTCGCAAGCCCAGGGAAACGAAAATTCCAAAACCAAGGACCCATTATAAAGAGTGCCCTGTCTATACATTTACACAGATGGGACTTGATCTTAAAGAGCTCAACTACAGCAGCCTGGTACCAGGAGAGACACTACAAAAAATAAATGTAGTTTTTGAAAAAGTCCCAGTAAAAAAAGCTAGTTTATAGGACTCCCCAAAATTTATGAAAATGTTTACAAGCTTTTTATTCTAGCTGGTTAAAATAAATCCATGTACTTAAGACTATAAATTCTTCAGGGCTGGGCCATCTCGGTTATATATTTGCACAGTAGCTAGCACAATGATTTGAGCCTTACGTGCTACCCCAATAGAAATAATTATTAGTGCTTTAAAACACAGTATTAAACAGCTTTTTTCCTGAGGAGTCAGCCACAAATGACAGTACAAATCGTTTCAAGATTAATTTTTAAAAATACAGAACCTATAAAAATAATCTGTTTAAGGTACTATTAGATTGTAATCCAGCTATTACTATGTTCTATAGATTAGCACAATTTTTTTTTGTTAAATGTCAAAACAAAACCAGACATTGCATTTCTGCCTCTACATTTACCAGGATGCAAACAGACTGCCACCCAGTGGATTAGAACCAAGTACACCAATTCAAAGCCAGTGGATTGAATACAGAATTGTTGACAATTTTATTTTCACTAAAATGTGCAGGAGTTATTTTGTTAATATAATAAACTGTTCAAATACATGACTGCTGTTTTCACGTTTGTCTGCAAGAAAATGTCTTGTGCCTGGAAGATCAACATCTGCACAAAGGCACCATGTGTGTAAAGCTTTCAGAATTACAAAAAAAAAAATGATCTACCAAATCGGCCCTCAGCACAGAAATTGTTAACTGGTGTAAACAATCACTTCAGAGACAGATTACAATCAAAATGCACAGAACCGCCTGTGACAGTCTAGGAAAGGCTTGGTCAAGCAGCATTCTTAGTGTAGTAGGAGAAGTGCTGCATGGCACATGCTTATATGGATGGCTTGACAACCCCTCATATGCTGGAGTTCATTTGTATTTGTAAAATCCTTCACCAGTCTTCTTACCCATCTTCCTCTCCTCTACTAATTTATTCAGCAGTGGGCTCGGAGCAAACAGAGGATTGTTTGGCTCTAACGAATGCCACCCTGGTGGAAGAAAGGAAGAACAGGTTAGTGGTGATATTTATTATTTGCAAAGATGACAGTCTCCTAGATGTCAGGGACACTTCAGTACTCTTCCATGAAATATTCTCATGTGGGTCTCGTCATTCTCTCCTATTTAAGTTCTTCCATTTTAATTAACTGGACCAGAGAAAAAGTTAGTGACTGTAGAGTCTAGTGATTAGGGCACTCATCTCAGATGGCAGATCCTTGTTCAAATCCCTTCTCCTTATCAGGCAGAGGGGGGGAGGTCTTGAACTGCAGGTCTCCCACATCCTGGGTGAGTTCCTTAACCACTAGATTAAAGATAATAAGAGAGGTTATCCTCCTCTCCCTCCCACCAGCTGTTCTGTGTGAACTCACCTGAGGGGGCTGGTCTAGGAGGTGGAGCACACATGCCTACTGGATCAAGTCCTCGCATGTGACTTAGATAGCCATCTTCCCTGAGACGAATTGCTCTGGGGCTCAGGCGGGAGACTGCCCAGGTCCCTAGAGAGAGGCTGCAGTGTGCATGTCCAGATGCAGAAGCTTAGGTGCTGAGTGAGCTTAGGCACCTATAGGGTTAGGTGGCAGCTGAATGGAAGTTTTGTGCATTGCAGTGGTGTCTAAAAACAGGACACCCATGTACCTTAACGGATTACACCCTAGGTATATTCTACATATTACTGAAGGAGGTTATCCCCAGGGTCCCAGCAGCTGGGATATTATACAGTACTAAAAATACTGAGGAGAGTCTAAGAGACAAGAGGGAAGGACTGGAAGAGCAAGGGTGAAAGAAGGATTTTAATCTGTGCAACAGTCAGAAAACGTAACACAGCTCAGAAGTATTGACTAATAGAAAGCCCAGTGATTTACTGAAGAGCATTTTCTGGAAGTGAAATTCTGTTTCAAGCAGACCCTTTTAGAACACCAGCTGAATACATCGGAGCCGTTTAAACAATTACAGTCAGACAATGTGTCATCAACTGCTCCTCAGCCCCCTATTTCTGATCAGGAAAGCACGGCCAGTCATTAAACAAGTGTCCAACCATTTATCAACTGGGGTGAGAGGGGCCCTTCCCTTCACCTTGAGACCTACTGCATGCTGGGGAGCAGCTGTCATGAAAGATGTCACTATGGTAACCTCTGCAAGGACAGCACTTATACCTGACCCCTCAAAATACATTTGCCAGAATAATTCTACAGGAACACAATTACGATGGGCCCTTGTTATTGAGCACAGCAAGGGGAGGCATTAGGTTATAGGGATAATAGGTTGGAATCAAACTCAGACCATCTTCTTTTGGGGTCTGACATCTTATAGCTATTGAGAAGCCAAGAGCTTTAGAGTTGCGTATTTTGTTGTTCACTTATACATAACGACAGTCAACTTTTAACAAATATAAATGACTTTCCTATTAACTCTGTAGTGAAATATGGTTTGTAAAACATGTTGGAAAATGGACTGGAGGAAATATATTCCTAGATATCTGCCACTTCCAATTCATCCCTCTTCTCCCTTTCTTCCCCATTTTTCATTAGCTTCTACAGCTTCATTGGGATTATTAACCTGCATTGATACCTCTCTGTTGAAAACACAGTCTAAATCAGCCAAATAACCATTCTTGGTTTTCCCATCAGTAAAATGGGGCTACTACTACTTCCCTACACCTCAGAGATGTTTTGAGGATTAAGCTCTTGTTTGAAAAGGGCTTTCAGGATGTTAACACTTAAGTATAGTGCTCAGCAATAAACATTTTAACACTATAGGTAGAGTATGAGCAACAATAATGACAAACATGTCTGGGAACTCTCTCACACATTTGTTACAGAAGGAAGACTATATAAGATTTATATGAGAAATTCTTTAGAAGTGATATGTACATATTTATGCTTCTTGTTTAAGCCTCTACTACCCACAATCTGATGGCTTACACTCCCAGCTCACCCACTGGAGATTGTCTTGACAAAGAGACTAGTTTAAGACGATTCCCAATGATCACTTTTTCCCTCCTAGTATCAAGAAAAGTGTCTGTAAACTGAGAACGCTGATCGCTCTTCCTGATGTTTCCCAGTTACTTTTCCACACAATCTTACACCATTCCATGAGGATGGAGCTCCCTTTCACCCAACTTGCTTAACTCAATGGCAAACTTCCAAGTTCTCTCTCATAATTACCTCCAGTAAACACAAGCCTGCATTTAGAATTTGCACATCCTTATCACGCTGTGATTCCTATCACATATTTTTGCTGAATCTTTATAGCTTTCCCTTATGCTGCTATGAACTGCCACACTCTCCAATCACTCTGGCACTCAAAAGCAGCCAACTTGTTTTTCTACAGTGTGCAATCCATTTTCCTAATTGTTTGATTAGAATTGCAGTAACCACATTTATTTTAAAGAGGTGGGTTTCTCGCTCCAAAATAACTGTTGGAAATCATTTAGTAGAGCTCTTCCAATCAAAACAAAAACTGCATAGGCAAAAGCGTTTCTTATTTCACTTCATGTATACACATGCACCATTCGCCAAGGAAATTTAAGTCAGTTTTACAAATTAAAGCCAGAGAAGTTTGGAAGGGATTTTACAGAGTGAGTTTATGGTGTTCTTTGGAGCACAACATCTCTCCTCACATTCTTGAAGAGGAAGAGTTCAACAGTTCAGCTTCATTTCATGCTTCTCTCACCCCCACAACACAGTGTGGCCTGGTCCCTGTTAGAAAAGCACCTATATTCCAGCAGTGGGCTATGTTATCAAAGTGCTCAAAGCCTGAGCCATGGCTACATTAGCAGCTGAACACCAGTGCTGCTTTACCAGTGCTGCAACAAGAGTACTAATTTTTCTAGTGCGGACACACTCAAAGGGACCCTCAGAACCACCATAGCCACTTGGCATGAACCACCCCTATGTCGTACACACCTGCCTTTGAAAACGATGGCGTGTTATTATTGATGCTGATTGATCATTCAGGATTATTCTCCCAATCCTTAAACGGCAAAGTCACTTACACTCAGTTTAAACTGAGGAAGAGTCAGACTTAAGTTGACACCTCCAGTTACAATTTAGCTAAGAAAGAAATAAAAATGTGTATACAGTACCATCTATAATATATTTACTGGTATCCAACCCAACATAGTCCAGCAGTTCAAACGGACCCATGGGATAGCCAGCCCCCAGCTTCATAGCAACATCAATATCTTCCTTTGATGCATCTCCTAGAGAAAATATTGACAGTTTGATGAACAGAGAAGATTCTGCATCTATTTGCCATCATCTTTAAATAATTAACACAGCGTTATTTCATGCTGGCACAGCTCTTTACAGTAATCTTTGCAGGTCCACTAAAACTGAGCCAGCCCACAGTAAGTGTGTTTGGCACGGTTAGCAGCAGAAATATAAAACAGTAAATATTAAGTAGTATACGGAATAGTGCTATCATCCTCACTGGCATACTTTCAAGGACAGATTAAGGCCAAATTCATAGACCCATAGATCAAAGTTGTGAGAGAAGTCCAGACGCCAATAAACCGATAGACCCAGGGTGGGCTCAACTGCTACAAAATGTGGGCCCAGCCAGCAAAGCAGGAGCAGGCAGGAAGCGCTAGAAAGAAGAGTACAAAGCTGGGCCTCTCCCACAATATGTCTGTGGGCCTAATTCCCATTTTCCTGACTTCGTCCTTATTCTATTGCCTATTACGGTACAGGCTTTTGTGCTGTATGTGAGGATCATGATAAAAAGACCCTCTAATCCAGGGCACACTAGTAAGAGAAGAAGAAAGTGCCATTTTAACTGAAGTTAAAGTTGTTCGAAAGCTTGCAAACAAGTCACTCTGAAGAAATTTTGTGCTTGATTATTTTTACGTTTTCATAAAAATATCTTGCTCTGGTGCAAGTCTATGCATTTCAGACTTTCTAAAAATATAAAATATATAGAAATGTCATTAATAAAATTCCAAAACACTGAGACTTGAGACATTTAATTTATAGCTTTATAATGTGAATCTGAAAAATAATTTCATGTGGTTTAAAAAAAAAAAAAAAGGAAAGGAAAGGAATGGAACGTAGAATAGAACTCAGCCATATAGAGATTAGATGCAGAGAAAGCTGTCAGAGACAGGCTAGCCATTGAGGGGACTTACACAAAGCTCCTTGGATTGACTTCCAGGGACTTTGGTTCAAGCCTGAAGTGATCGAGTTAAACAAGTCTCAAAGGGCCCAATTCTGTGACGTGTCAAGTCAACTCCCACTAAGGTTGATGAGAAATGAGAGTGCGCAGCAGCTTGTAGGATTCAAGCCTCTGGGCTCCATTCTTATTCATAAATCAACGAGAATGCTCTGAATTGTGGAACGTGAGCAATAAGTTTTCAAACTGCCTTTTATTTAAGCAGGACACTTTCAACTGCTGATCCGCTTCTGAAGCAACTGTTTTTATGGCTCATACGTTCTTTTGTGCCCTTTTTAAAAAAATCATGTTGAAATGTTTGGGATCCGCATTTTGCTTTTGAAAGATGGTAAGAACCAGCCTGTTTCACTAATGGAAAATAATTTTTTAATGACTCTTAATTTCAATGTGATTTAAACTACTGGGCCTAATTCATCACAGCTGAATGGATGCAACTCAGTTGAAGTTCATGGAATTGTACCTACTTACCACAGCACAATATTTGGTTCGCTTTCTTTGCTACAGCAGACACTTTACCACTTAGGCTAGGTCTACACTACGCACCTTTTAGCCACAGCTGTGCCGCTGTTTGTCGGCAGGAGAGAGCTCTCCCGCTGACAAAAAGCTTCCACCCTCAACAAGCGGCGGTAGCTTTGTCGGCAGGAGAGCTCTGCTGCCAACAAAGCACTGTTCACACAGGTGCTTTTCGTCAGCAAAACTTTTGTCGTTCGAGGTGGGGTGTGCGTGTGTGATTTTTTCACACGCCTGAACGACAAAAGTTTTGCTGACAAAAGTCCAGTGTAGACAAAGCCTTAGATACCTGACCACCTACATACATTAACTAGTTGCAGGAGAACTCCCTCTCCCCGGAAACAAAAAGATAGAATACAATTAGAAGGATAACTGTACAAAAAACAGCTGTTCCCCAATTCATAGTCAGAGCTACCTAAATACAGAATTCCATGTAAGCCAGACTAATTTACTGGGGTTTCTTGGTGTTTCAATAAAAAGAGCACAATATGAACTCTCCTATACTAATCCTCATAATAAGGCACCAATTTAAATAATTACTTGCACAGTTTCATTAGAGGAATAAAGCCTATGCAAAAGCTGAAATCCTGAAATCTTTATTCAGGCACAATACACATTTGGGTCAGTGGGTACTTTGCATGCCTAAGGACTTCAATGACTGACCCCATAAAATTAAAGTTTCAGTGATTATTATTGTCAAGAAATATCCTAGATTCCCTGCCAAGGTTAGTAGAGCAATGCTCTTTTTCTAACCTGACTCAAGTCACTACCATGAGGATCAACACAAGAGGAACAGATATGATACAAGTTTAGCACATTCCAACAGAGAATATGAATCAATGTGAACTTCAGGTCAATCAACCCACTAAATTTATTCATTAAATAATTAAAGTTCATTAATAAATTTTAAACAAGTGTGGGATCCTTGTATTCTTCAACCAAAAAGACCAACCAGAACAAAGCTGAAATCAAAATACTGCTTTTGCTTAGGCAAAGGGGAGTTGATTTTATTATAAAATTCTTGTCAATTTTTTCTATAAATTTAAAAATCTGTCTCCCTAAGTGCATAAAATGACATCTATCATTTAACAAAGGCATCTCCTTAACACATTAGAACACCCACACAATGTATTCCAAATTGTGATATTTTATTAAGAGAAAAGCTGTCCCTCTCCACCCCCGCTCCTTTGCCTTTCAAGTCACTGTAATTTGCTCTATTCTCCCTTCGAGATGTAATTAGGTACATTTGTTGATGGATAAACAAGTAGCACAAGTTTAAATTTCTCCTGGAGATCAAACCATCACTTCCATAAGCTATAAAGGAAATTTTTTAATATTTAAAGCATATTAGCTGGAATCCTGGTAATGGAGTGCTTTCATCTGTAAGAAAATGCTGCTTTCAAAAACAAAACTTTGAAAAGACAATCTTAATAGCATGCAGTGATGAACAGAGTGCCTGAAATAAGAACAACTGCACTAAGGTCTGGTCTACACTACCGAGGTTAAGTCGACGCAAGGCAGCTTATGTCGACCTAACTATAAGTAATTTATAAATACTGATTCAGCATCCAGGGATTGCTCAGCATCTCAAAATTCAGATGAGAAATTCTTTTAATTACATCTATAGGCTGACATTTGACGTGATCACAACTTTTTATCACCTGACTGATTCTAAAAGATCAAAGATTTATATACAATCCCAACACTTATCTGAAGAGATTAATATCTAGCAGAGTAATGTCAACATCCCACAGAGTAAACAACACTGGTAAATACCTCTCTCATAAAGCCGGACTGCTTCCATCAGGTATGGCACCAGGAGACGATTTACAACAAATCCTGGGGTATCCTGTTTTTAAAAAACAAAACAAACAAACAAAAAAACAGATTCTAAATAAACCCTCTATACGGATACTATTGCCAAATGTTGTATTACAAGTTCAACAAGGAAGTTGCTTATTAACTCACCAAGTTTCAGTTCACTCTAGACTACTGGTCTTTTGCCCGATTTACCTGTTCACTACTTTTGTTTAACAGAAATGAATCTAATAACTAAGAACTATTATGTGATCAAATATGGCTGAGGAACCTAAAAGTGCCTCCTCCCCATTCTTAATTATTAATTCATCTTAAAAGACTCAATGCTGCCTCTTAGAAAGCTACTTGGAAAATACTAGCTAGTCAGAAAAATTCTGCTGGTACTGGGTTTTTTTGGGGTGATCTAGGGAGATGAGTTCTTCCCTTTTGTGTGTGAATTTATTAATAAACACATTCATGGCTTAAGAGTTTATCTACTCCTGCTGTTTATTCATCATTGTAAATCAAACTTCTGTGACATCATAATCACTTCAACAGCAACCAACATCAATTTTGCAAACAGAAGGTGGTGATCTGGGTTGAGAATTATGCAGCAGGGGCAGGTTGACTCCCAAACAACCAAGATCTTGTTTTAACGTAAGCTTCTATAGTAATCAAAAATGTAAAGGGAAATGCGAAATAGAACATATGAAAGAGTACTGTAAATACCAGTATTATTTAATATACTATCATGTTAGGATAATAATTAATAAATAATAGTACAAAATACCACAACTCACACTCTTCTACAGCAAGTATATACTCCAAGAGCTTCACAATGCTAGGTAAGCATTATAATCCCCATTTTACACAGGGAAAATTAACAAACAGAATGGCGAAGGAACTTGTCCACGGTCTCACTTCCATAGTTAGCTCAACAGTAACTGATGAGAAAGGAAAGAGGTATCTACACTTTACGATTTGGGAAACTGAAGTACAGAGATTTTAAAAAAAACTGCCAAAGACCACACAGCAATGCAGTGGTACAGCTGAAAACAGAACCCAGGATGCCAACAACTACTTGACCATAATTCCTTTTTTCTATGGGCCAGATGCCTCCATGAAAGGTGGGGAGCCATCACGCTGCCCCCCCTCCTCACAACTCCCGTCCCCAGAAGCCCTCTTTACGGCTAATGAGCAAAAAGAAATGAAGGTTAATACTAGTCTGACCCGCATTGAGGGGGAATCATGTGCATACACTACCCACAGTGGAGGATCCAAAAGCAACACAGCGCATGAACTGGCAGTGGTGCCTCAGGTGTTTGGAGGGCAAGGGGGCCAAGATTCCAGAGGGAGGGGTTTCTGCTTCTCCACTGTAGTTAGGGTCTGAATGGACTGGAGCAGTTAACTGCGATCCCTGACCTGCCCTAGGTTTGCCAGAACTATCCCTTGCCCTTTCCACACAACAGTCAGACCCACCCCATTCACACACGGATATGGCAGATTGGGATCTCTCTCTTTTTCAAGGACTTTTAGCAAGCAAGTTATTCTCTCCTGAAGGGATTTTCATGGGAACGCATAATCTGCGCCAGAAGCAGAGTAGAAAATTTTCATTGTGTTCATGCAATTACACACCACCTTAAAATGAATAGCTTTTTAAAATGAGCAGACCTGAGGCCCCCTGAGCGTTGCTCGTCTCTCCTCACAATCTAGAGCTACTTGCCTTGCAAGATATTGGATTCTTTCCCAATGCTTTGGTGAATTCCATGAGCGACTCAAAAGTCTTTTGGTTGGTCATTGGTGTCTTGATGACCTAAGCAGGGAACCAACATGTGTTAATAAGCAACCAGAAGCCATTTTCTCTCCCCACCCCGATAACTGTGCCAAAAATTAAAGTGATTCAGAATG